GGTTTCCCCACCACCCACTCCATTTTGTTTCTGTGCCGACTGTCGATGCGAGCTGCATTATAATATTGGATTTCTCCTCCATTAATTTCCATGGGCAGCTCCATTGATTTCCATCCTTGAAGTCACAAAGGTAAAGGTGAAGGGACCCCTGACCGTTAGGTCCAGTCGCGGACAACTCTGGGTTGTGGCGCTCATCTCGCTTTACTGGCCGAGGGAGCCAGCGTACAGCTTCCGGGTCATGTGGCCAGCAGGACTAAGCCGCTTCTGGCGAACCAGAGCAGCGCACGGAAACACCATTTACCTTCCCGCCACAGTGACACCTATTTATCTACTTGCATTGCATGCTTTCAAACTGCTAGGTTGGCAGGAGCAGGGACCGAACAATGGGAGCTCACCCCGTCACGGGGATTCGAACCTTTTGATCGGCAAGCCCTAGGCTCTGTGGTTTAACCCACAGCGCCACCCGTGTCCGTATCCCTGAAGTCATAAATGGGTCTTAAAAAGGATGGGACATAGGTGGCGCTGTGGTCTAGACCACTCAGCCTCTTGGGCTTGCCGTTTGGAAGGTCAACTGCTCAAATCCCCACAACAGAGTGAGCTCTCCTTGTTCTGTCCCAGCTCCTGCCAACCTAGCAGTTTGAAAGCACACCAGAGCAAGTAGATAAATAGGTACCACTGCGGCGGGAAGGTAAACGGCATTTCCGTGCCCTCCGGCTTCTGTCACAGTCCTCCATGCGCCATAAGCGGTTTAGTCCTGCAGGCCACACTACCAGGAAAGCTGTCTGTGGACAAACGCCCACTCTCTCGGCCTGAAAGCGAGATGAGCACCGCAACCCCATAGTCGCTTTTGACTCGACTTAACCGTCCAGGGGTCCTTTACCTTACCTGAGATATTTGACAGGCATGATGACAACTTGATGTTGTGGATTTGGGAGTCATGATGCCCTGCGTCCCTCCCCAATTCTTGGGGTCCTGGAATCTAAGAGAGGTTTCTTTTGCTGAACTGGTCCAAAAAGTGAGAAGTCAATGACCATTATAAAGATTTGAGAAGTGGGGTTATTACCCCTCTGCTATTGTCCATACTGGGTTGCTCAACCATTGCAGCTGTGTCCTTTCTTTTATCAGATCAAGATGATCAGGTGACAGCAATAAAACGGCAAGGTTTTTATTGGAGCAATTAGAATAAGATCTAATATTTGATTATTGCTGTAAACCCCCAAAATGTATTTACTATAGTTAAGTTTTTACCTCTATCTTCGGTACATTTTATTTTATCGCGACGGCTAGTGGCTGATGCACATAAATATTATTCTGCTTCTTCATTTCAAGGAAACTAAACATGCATAAGCACCTGAAATCCCAGAGATCAGGGTGGTGTGGTAAAATATGATTAAGGAAGACATTATTTTTATTCCCCCCCCCCAGTTTTATATTCTTTAATATACAACCACAGTATAAAGAGTATAATGAGAATGATTGGCAGACTTGTTTTGTTAGAAGTCTTTTTTATTTAAGTGTTTAATTACGTATTAATTAGGAAGATTTTTAAAAAGTATGTACGTAAATTTCCTTTTTCTTCTTTCTTTTTTCTCTATTTTCTTCTTTCCTTTTTTCTTAATTGTTTTTCTTTGATTTTCTTTTTGTAGTATGAGTTTGTAAATTCTTTGTATAAGTGTGTAATTTAAATTAATAAAGATTATTATTAAAAAAAGGAAGACATTATATATATAAAATAGCAAGAGGAGAATGCTTGGCTTCAGAAACCAGTTTATTCCGATCTATGAGACAGAGATACGCATCTCCAAATAAATAGATTTCTCCCCAAACACCCCCAATCAAAACAGGCATAAATACATTTATCAGATTGTGAACCTTTCCCCCAAAAACGGACAGGGGCGAGTGCAAGTCCCTTTGCACGCTCTCCTCTTGTGACAAATGGACCACATTTGGTTCTTGGGAAGATGCATCTTTTGGTTGATCTGAGTGCAGTGAAGAATGGTGTGAGATACATTATAAATGTGATATAACCATGTACTAAACCACTACCGTAGTGCACAGTGTAGACAGTCTGCGCGAGACCCGTGGCGCCAAAACCGCCATCATTCCAGGCACAGGCGAGTGATGGGGGAAAGTCTGGTTTTAAACACGGGGACAGCTGGAAGGGTTTTCTAGCAGTCACGAAATTAAAAGACGCCTGCTTCTTGGGAGAAAAGCAATGACAAACCTAGACAGCATCTTAAAAAGCAGAGACATCACCTTGCCAACAAAGGTCCGTCTAGTTAAAGCTCTGGTTTTCCCAGTAGTGATGTATGGAAGTGAGAGCTGGACCATAAAGAAGGCTGATCGCCGAAGAATGGATGCTTTTGAATTATGGTGCTGGAGGAGACTCTCAAGAGTCCCATGGACTGCAAGAAGATCAAACCTCTCCATTCTGAAGGAATCAGCCCTGAGTGCTCACTGGAAGGACAGACCCTGAAGCTGAGGCTCCAATACTTTGGCCACCTCATGAGAAGAGAAGACTCCCTGGAAAAGACCCTGATGTTGGGAAAGATGGAGGGCACAAGGAGAAGGGGACAACAGAGGACGAGATGGTTGGACAGTGTTCTCGAAGCTACCAGCATGAGTTTGACGAAACTGCGGGAGGCAGTGGAAGACAGGAGTGCCTGGCGTGCTCTGGCCCAGGGGGTCACGAAGAGTCGGACATGACTAAACGACTAAACAACAACAACTCCACGTGGGAAGGGCTGAACCACTTTTGAGAACATGAGAGCCTGCTGGAGCCAGCCAACAGCCCATCTAGTCGAGCATCCTGTTCTCACAGTGGCCAGCCAGAAGCCCGCAAGCAGGATTCGAACACAGGAGCCCTCTACCCTCCTGGCGGCTGGGATTCAGAAGCTGGGTTGCCTCTGACTGTGGAAGCAGAATGCAGACATGATGTGTCCCAATTCTTCCACGCAGCATTTACCAGCTCTGCCATTTTTAAAAAAATACCGTATTTTTCGCTCTATAAGACGCACCAGACCACAAGACGCACCTAGTTTTTGGAGGAGGAAAACAAGAAAAAAAATATTCTGAATCTCAGAAGCCAGAACAGCAAGAGGGATCGCTGCGCAGTGAAAGCAGCAATCCCTCTTGCTGTTCTGGCTTCTGGGATAGATGCGCAGCCTGCATTCGCTCCATAAGACGCACACACATTTCCCCTTACTTTTTAGGAGGGAAAAAGTGAGTCTTATAGAGCAAAAAATACGGTATATATATACAGCGCATATGCACCTAGGTAGTTTGCACGTGCAGGACAATTGCTGAACTTGAGCCTGGATAGCTCAGTTGGTTGGAGCCTGGTAATGATAACGCCAAGGTTCCAGGTTCGATCCCCGTACGGGACGGCTGAACATTCCCGCATTGCAAGGGGTTGGACTAGACTGCAGCGGTTCTCAACCTGTGGGTCCCGAAATGTTGTTGGACTACAACTCCCATCATCCCTCAGCTAGTGAGGGATGATGGGAGTTGTAGTCCAACAACTTCTGGGGGCCCGCAGGTTGAGAACCGCTGGTCGCTCGCTAGAGGATCCTTGAATTCCCTTCCAGCTCTGAAATTCTACGGTTCTATGGTAAAATGTTAGAGGGTTTCTTTTAAAATCCCTCTAGATCAGCGTTTCCCAAAGTGGGTGGTATCGCTGGGTGGGATTGCGCAGTGGCGGAGGAAACCTCTCGGGCACCTGGGGCGGGGCAAACCGCCCGTAGGGGTGGGGCGGGGTGCGCAGCGCGGCACCCAAATGGGCTAGGAACCGGCCGCGCTGCATGGTGCCCATAGGGATAGGCAGAGGCGGAGCTAGTGGCATCGGCGTGCATCCCAGGGGGGTGCACCAGCATCGGCGCGCGTCCTGGGGGTACACTGCCCGCAGCGATGTTACCCCCCTCAGGGATGGCACCTGGCGCAGACCGCCCCCCCAGCCCTCACCTTGCTCCACCTCTGGGATTATGGAGAGGGCGCTAAGAGGCAAGGGAGTGGGGCTTCTGGAGGAGTAAATGGCCACCAACAGACTTTGAAAAACAGGTATCAGTGGGTCAAAGTCATCCATTTTGCTCATTTGGATATGCGGAAGATATTAAAAATAAATTGAAGGGACCGCAGAAATAGGGGGAAGCAAGTCAGGTTTTAAAATGTCGAACTGATTGAAAAATGAGTGAAATGTATATATCTGAAAAGTTTATATATCTATAAATAAAGTTCATCCATTTTGCTGATTTGGGGGGGGTGGCGGCGGCAGGAGGGGGGTTATTGTTTTGCTTTGCTATGTATTTGCTATTTTTATCTTGCGTTTTTATGCTGTGAACCGCCCTGAGATCTATGGATGTTTTGAATTTTGTTGTGTTATTATCTTCCTTGGTGGGTTGTGCAAACTGCTTTTCTGAAGAACGCTTTTCACAGGGTAAGGTAGCGGGGGAATGGGGAAGGCGGGAAAATTTTGCCCAACCTCTGTGCCAGACACCCAAACAAAACAAAAAGCCCTTGACATAAGATTTACATTCAAAATTCAAAGGAGAGGCAGAAGGAAAGCGGGCTTTTTAAAGCATAGTTCCTCAAAGTATCCAGGGGAGATCGTTTGAATTTTGGAATGCCAGTTCCTGAATTCAGATTTCAAATTCCGGCATCGGATGACAATAATTGCGAGTCTGGAGTTTCATCAATTCTTGGTTGCACCCAAAACCTCGAGCGACACAGAGACTCCGACAGAGCGGCTGGGAGGCAAATGAAAAATATTCCGTTTCTGCAACGGAAATCCTCTTCCTATTTGCCCTTTGCTATCCCAGAACAATCGGTGAAACAGCAGAATCAAAGCTCTATTATGACGGTTTCCTACGTGCTCTATAGGAAGTGGCAGCCCCTCAGTCTCCCCTTCCCCTAAAAGGTTAAAGCATCTTTCTTGGTTCTCCCCGCAACCCCACTATTCTTAGCAGGAAGCAGGCGAAAGAGCCATCCATTCGCTCTGGCAGCATTTGGAAAGGCTGGTTGCATCGGCAGGATCTAGAGTGTTGAAGTCAAGCAGCCATATTGGTCGTCCTCATTCCCATGGGTTAATTTGCTGGCATTTTCACAAAGCTTGTTGCAGATTGTCTTTCCTGCTTCCGCGGCGATAGTTTACTCAATAAGGCAACTTTCCCCCATATATATTAATATCAATAGACTCCACCCCCCACCCCCAATTCTTTTACAAGTTCTTGATTTCTCTGTCCGGACTTTCGGAGATCTTCGCCTCTGGGCCTTGCACCAGGAACGTGTTCCAGTAAGCTGAGAGAAGATAGAAGGATATTCATTACTCACTATTCCCATGAAACGTATACCCTATAAGGGCAATAAACTATTTATAGAATATTATCTCTCCCCCATCCCCCATCCTCCAAAAAAAAAAAAAATGCTAGCAAAGAGAAAGGATCCTCTGGTACTTTAAATACTAATTTATTGCAGCGTGACCTTTTGCAAATGAGAATCTCCTTCTGCAGATGAACCGCCTTTTGCGAAATGAATCAATTCCTTCGCAAACCACACGCCCTCTATGAGGAACGCAGGGAGGTGACTTTGGCTAGGTTAAAACATTGGGTCCGCCTAGCTTGGTATTGCCAACACCAGATTTTGGCAGCCTGGCGAAACGCCAGATGCCTTGACTACAACTCCCATCGTTCCCAGCCAGCGTTGTCAATTGCATCTGGCTGTGGTGGACCTAAATTTTGGGGACCATGAAGCTTCAATTGTCATGGGGGCCCCTTCGCAACGTTGGGTCCCATCAATATCATCTTCAATGGAGTTGTTCCAGAACAGATCGCAACCCCCTTTAGAACAACTTTGCTGCTGGCTCTCAGACTCTGAGATTGTTGAAATCTTCACAACAACAAAAATAACTCATTTGAGTTGCATGACTCAAATTGGTTCTACATGCGCCAATTTTTTTAAGCAATGTGTACTCAAGTTGCTTCTGGGGCCACTCCAGGATTAGTGGCCCAGAAGCTGCAGCTTCATGAGTTTCATAGTAGATCCAGCCCTGGCACTTGGCAGGGCAGCCATAGTGCCAAACAGCTGGAGGGCACCAGGACCACGCTGGCAGTGGGTTTCCAAGGTTTCAGCCAAGGGCCTCTCCAAGCCTGCCTCTAGATTGAAGCTGACCAAAGACACTGAGGTCCAGCTCCGAGGGCCTTCTGGTGGTTCCCTCCCTGTGAGAAGTGAGGTTACTGGGAACCAGGCAGAGGGCCTTCTCGGTGGTGGCTCCCGCCCTGTGGAACGCCCTCCCATCAGATGCCAAGGAAATAAACAACTACCTGACTTTTAGAAGACATCTGAAGGCAGCCCTTTTTAGGGAAGTTTCTAATGTTTGATCTTTTACTGTGTTTTTAATATTCTGTTGGGAGCCACCCAGAGTGACTGGGTAAACCCAAAAGATGGGCAGGATATAAACAAATTATTATTATTATTATTATTATTATTATTATTATTATTATTCAAACATTAAATGGAGACTTGCTGCAAGATATGGGGAAGTCATGGGCACCTGTGGCTTTAAAACAGATCCGTGGCAGACAGGAGATGTTTCTGCAACACCTAAATCGAGCCTCCACATTAAGAAGGTGAGAAGACTAAACAGTCTTTCTGGCTCAGTGTCTTGTCCTCACCAGAGGTGCCAACTTGACCAAAAGATGGGGGGGGGGGTTGGTGGTGCATGCAAAATTTTAAAAACTCAAAATCCAGGACATTTGCTTTAAAATGTAAAATTCCCTCCCGATGAGAATATAGGACCCTCCCCCTCAAAAGAGGACATGTCTGGGAATTCCCTATCAGTCACTGAAGCCTTGACAAACTGTGATCAGTCTCCTCTGGAGCAGACTGTTCTCAACATTGACCCCCACCGCAAATATTTTATGGGGGGGGGAGGGACCTGGGCCCCTTAGAGTTGGCACCTATGGTTCTCCCAGTGGCCAATCAGATGCCCAAAAGGTAAAAAGGTAAAAGACCCCTGGATGGTTAAGTCCCATCAAAGGCGACTATGGGGTTGCAACACTCATCTTGCTTTCAGGCCGAGGGAGCCGGTGTTTGTCCACAGACAGCTTTCCGGGTCATGTGCCAGCAGGACTAAACCACTTCTGGTGCAACAGGACACTGAGATGGAAACCAGAGTGCATAGAAATGCTGTTTACCTTCCCGTTGGAGCTGTACCTATTTATCTACTTGCACTGGCGTGGTTTCGAACTGCTATGTTGGCAGGAGCTGGGACAGAGCAACGGGAGCTCACTCCGTCACGGAGATTCGAACTGCCTACCTTCTGATCAGCAAGCCCAAGAGGCTCAGTGGTTTAGACCAGTGTTTTTCAACCACTGTTCCGCGGCACACTAGTGTGCCGCGAGATGTTGCCTGGTGTGCCGTGGGAAAAATTGAAAAATTCAAAAGATTTAAAAATAAAGTATTTTATAATTTTTCACATTTCTGTTTACTTACTATTTCATAATAAAGTAATTATAAAATACTTTCTTTGTGTTTATTTGATTCCTATTCAAGAGAATTACTTTATATATAGTCAATATAGGCACAGAGTTAATTTTTTTAACATTTTCTAATGGTGGTGTGCCTCGTGATTTTTTTTCATGAAACAAGTGTGCCTTTGCCCAAAAAAGGTTGAAAAACACTGGTTTAGACCACAGCAGAAAATTCTCACACAAAAGCCCTCTCCCCTCCTGTAGTTTCCAGCAAGGGGTATTCAGGAGCGTTTCTGTCTCCCAGAGCACAGCCACATCATAGCTAGAAGCCATCGATGGTCCTGTTCTCCACAAATGTACCCAATTCTCTTTTAAAGTTTGGTGGAAATCACTGCCTCCGGCAGGAGCATAGCTATCAACTTTTCCCTTTTCTTGCGAGGAATCCTATACGGAATGAGGGAATTTCCCTTAAAAAAGGGAAAACGTTGACAGCTATGCGCAGGAGTGAGTCCCAGAGTTTAAGGACGTTCTGCGTCTTTCATGTTCCGGAACAGCCATGACACAATCGCTAACCTTAGAGAGGTATCTGTCTGCTGGCCTTTTAAGCAATCTTAACAAATGATTCCTACAGGAAAGCAAAGTCTGTCCTTGCAGTTTCTGGTAACAACACTTACATATCTTCCAGGAATGCTCCAGGAGCTATTTTTAATATGGGGGATTATTTTTAATATGGGGAGGGGGAATGGATTCGTCTGACACATCTTCCGCTTCCCAGAATGCCAGATGGATTGCATATTATTAGACACCAAGCAGCTCTACAGACTCGGGAAGGGATGCGATTCGGCGTGGGTGGGGGTTTCGTAACCCTCGGCCCGCCCTCGACGAAACGCGAGCGGGTGTCTCTGGCAGCTTCTGATGTCCCGTAAAGTGCAGAGACGGAAGAAAGACTCCCAGCAGTCCAGTGACTAACAGGGCACAGAACAGAACAAATCGCGAGCTTAAGGCGATGTGCATTGAGACTTGAGGCAAGTCTCCCTTTAGTAGAAGTACAGTGGTACCTTGGGTTAAGTACTTAATTTGATCTGGAAGTCCGTTCTTAACCTGAAGCACCACTTTAGCTAATGGGGCCTCCTGCTGCTGCCGCACTGCCAGAGCACAATTTCTGTTCTCATCCTGAAGCAAAGTTCTTAACCCGAGGTACTATTTCTGGGTTAGTGGAGTCTGTAACCTGAGGCGTATGTAACCTGAAGCGTATGTAACCCAAGGTACCAATGTATGGACTTGGCAAAGAACTCTTAACTTCTGGTTCCACCTAAACTCAAATCCCCCCGGTTTACTTCATAACTCCCATAAAAGTGCCTGGCTTAAAACCGTCTATCAAAAACTTCACTCTCGTGGCCTATCCCCACAACACCTACTCACTATGGGCCCTACTAAAGCAAACAGTCTAATTGGTCAACGTCTAAAAGATACTGAGCATCGGAACAACCTGGCCACTATAAGGAAATTCTGCCCTTGGTATGTTCATTTTCCACCTCTCCATTTTGATTCTCTGGCCCCATATCGGCACAAACTTCTTATCCCAAAATACAGATGTGCTTTTACACTTGCAAGACTGGATGTTTTGCCATCTGCGGTACTCGAGGGTCGATTCCAAAAGATCCCGCCTGAGAAACACCTTTGCCCCTGTGGAGATGGTAGCACCAAAACAGTGGCACAAGTCCTCCTGTCCTGTACTCTCTACAAAGACCTGAGGAACGAGACAATCACTCCACTCGTCCTAAGCATCCCAGGGCACTCAACCACTGCCACAATGGCCTTTCTTCTATCAGATAACAGCAAAGGTTGCTAGGTTCATAGCAGGGGCAGTCAGAATAAGGGCCACTAACTGACAGCTGATTCAGGACTTTAAATTGTGCTCTTATATCCAATCTCCTTTTCTGCGTATACTGTCATGTTTTACTGTTGCTATGGCCATTGGCTAATGCAGATAAAGTTTTATCTATTTATCTGAAGGCGATGTGTTCCCACCTGGTTAAGTCTGCAAGGGCAGCTGGTTTGAAGCTCACCCACATTCCGTTCCTTTCCGGTGCTTGTCAGGTTGGGGAAGTGTTTGTTGGGGAACAGAGAATGCGGCAGCTAGACTGGGGACTGGGAGCGGTCGCCAAGACCACGTAACACTGGTCTTGAAAGACCTACATTGGCTCCCAGTACGTTTCCGAGCACAATTCAAAGTGTTGGTGCTGACCTTTGAAGCCCTAAACGGCCTCAGTCCAGTAGACCAGAAGGAGCGTCTCCAACCCCATTGTTCAGCCTGGACACTGAGGTCCAGCGCCGAGGGCCTTCTGGCGGTTCCCTCCCTGCAAGAAGCAAAGTTACAGGGAACCAGGCAGAGGGCCTTCTCAGTAGTGACACCCTCCCTGTGGAACACCCTCCTGGCAGATGTCAAGAAAATAAACATATGACCTTTAGAAGACATCTGAAGGCAGCCTTGTTCAGGGAAGTTTTTAATGTTTGATGTTTTATCGTGTTTTTAATATTCTGCTGGGAGCCGCCCAGAGTGGCTGGGGAAACCCAGCCAGATGGGTGGGGTATAAATAATATTTATTTATTTATTTATTTGGGTGCCAGGCTGACTAAGGCTGCCCTAGCATATCATTCCCAGGCATCTTCTCTCCCCCCCCCCTTAACCAAAAGACTCCAGACTTTCTCTGGCATGTTAGTGTTCTGCAAGCCAGGAGTTATTTTCCACTGGGGAGCATTCAAACACTCAAGACCCACGCACCCCAACCTGGAATCTCAGTGGTAGACTCCCAAGAGGGCTTTGCCGCGCATGGCATGCTTAGTTTTACAAGAAGCCCCCATTCGATGTTGTTAGCTGTACCAGAAAGTAAAGTGTCTGGGGGTGTGTGCATTAACCTCAACAGCTAAGAAAGCCAAATGTTTCAAGGTAGCTTGTCTTTGAATTTTATTGCATCCCTCCCCAACCCCACTGGTCTTGCAATCCTACCTCATCTTTCCTGCTTCAATGCATAGCTGTCAACGTTTCCCTTTTTTTAAAGGAAATTCCCTTATTCCGAATAGGATTCCTTGCAAGAAAAGGGGAAAGTTGACAGCTATGCTTCAATGGAAGGGACGTGGGTGGCGCTGTGGGTTAAACCACAGAGCCTAGGACTTGCCGATCAGAAGGTTGGTGGTTCGAATCCCCGCGACGGGGTGAGCTCCCGTTGCTCAGTCCCTGCTCCTGCCAACCTAGCAGTTCAAAAGCACGTCAAAGGTGCAAGTAGATAAATAGGTACCGCTCCGGCAGGAAGGTTAACGGCGTTTCCGTGCGCTGCTCTGGTTCGCCAGAAGTGGCTTAGTCATTCTGGCCACATGACCTGTGGCTGTACGCCAGCTCCCTTGGCCAGTAAAGCAAGATGAGCGCCGCAACCCCAGAGTCGGCCACGACTGGACCTAATGGTCAGGGGTCCCTTTACCCTTTACCTTTATGCTTCAACGGAGAGGGGAGGGGGAATTAAATACATTTTTGTAAGTTCGGTTGTTCCTCCCGCCGGAGTTAACAACATTTTTACCAAACCACCACCTCTCTGGGATTCTGTGTTGGCAAAGCCCCAAACGGACCCGATCTGAACCGCCAAGTCACCTTCGAAAGCTCTGCTTGGGTCAACCATACCTTCATTTGTCCTGGAAACTAGCCGGAAGTTCTGCACTTCTTGCCGGAACTCTTGTTTCTTGACCTTCTTGATCTGGATCAAATGAAAGATTCCTACAAAAAAAAAACAACAACCAAGAACCAGACACAGATGCAAAGTTTAGAAAATTATGTGGGATGTGATACATAGATAGCAGTCAAGTACAACATCCCTTGTTTTCCTAGAGTGGACATGCAAGGGGATGTTTGGTCCAGCCAGTCGGAACTTCCTGTTTCCTCCTGGGCTGGAACCTACTTCCTCTTACATGTGACTAGAGGTGGGCGTGACCTTACCTGACCAGGTAACACAAAAGGACAAGGCACACTGCATACTCTTTGACTTCCTCCATCGTTGGAGCAACAGCTTTTTAGCTAGAGATGCTTCCAGCCAACAGAGAAACAAAGGGACTATCTCCATATGGGATAGATTCCAGATGTATATACTTTGTAACTAAGACTGCCTTCAGGGATCCATCTGTGAACTGAATGTGTGAGTAAACTTCTTTTATATACAATGGTACCTCAGGTTACATACGCTTCAGGTTACATACACTTCAGGTTACAGACTCTGCTAACCCAGAAATAGTGCTTCAGGTTAAGAACTTTGCTTCAGGATGAGAACAGAAATTGTGCTCTGGTGGCGCGGCGGCAGCAGGAGGCCCCATTAGCTAAAGTGGTGCTTCAGGTTAAGAACAGTTTCAGGTTAAGAACGGACCTCTGGAACGAATTAAGTACTTAACCCGAGGTACCACTGTATACTTTGCACAAGATTGTGTCGTGTCTATTCTTTTAAGAGGGATATAAGGGAAATTACCGGGAATCTAAAGGGATGCAGGTGGCGCTGTGGGTTAAACCACAGAGCCTAGAGCTTGCCAATCAGAAGGTCGGCGGTTCGAATCCCCGTGACGGGGTGAGCTCCCGTTGTTTGGTCCCTGCTCCTGCCAACCTAGCAGTTTGAAAGCACGTCAAAGTGCAAGTAGATAAATAGGTACCGCTCCGGCGGGAAGGTAAACGGTGTTTCCGTGAGCTGCTCTGGTTCGCCAGAAGCGGCTTAGTCATGCTGGCCACATGACCCAGAAGCTGTACGCCGGCTCCCTCGGCCAGTAAAGCGAGATGAGCGCCGCAACCCCAGAGTCGTCCGCGACTGGACCTAACGGTCAGGAGTCCCTTTACCTTTACCTTACAGGAATCTAATGTTGAGAAGCTTAAAGAAGCTTGCAACAAGCTAACCGCTGTGAGTTTAAAAGGGAATGTAAAAAAGTTATATGTTATAAAACTTGCTGCTGGCAGACCACTATGGACAGCGCATGTGCGGCATCGCTACGTACAGCACATGTGTCATACGTAGTGACACCGCACATGCGCCCTACGTAGCGACGCCCTGCCCGGGTGTCACGACGCCTTCGTTCGCCCCTGGTCTGGCCCACAGCTTAACACCGCAACGGGCCTCTGGTTGGCCACTGTGAGAACCACATGCTGGACTAGACGGACCACTGGCCTGATCCTGCGGCCTCTTCTCATGTTCTTATGCAGACTGAAGTGGCACAGGCCATGCTGCCTTGCCAGGATTCGACCACCTCATTCTGTCACGTGCGTGGACAACTCCCCGGCCTCAGGTATGTCGCTGGAAGCGAACCTAAGAACAGGCTCAAACTACCGTATTTTTCGCTCCGTAGGACACACTTTTTTTCTCCTTCTTTTCCTCCTCCAGATTCCCAGCGAGGCGCCTGTCCTGAGAACCCGGAGGAGGAACAGAAGGGTCTCCTTCTGTTTCTTCTCCAGCTTCGCTTGAAGGGGCGCTGCGCAGTTCTCCCTCTCTGCGCAGCGCCTCTCCTTCGCAGGAGAGGTGTTGCTCAGAGAGGGAGAACTGCGCAGCACTCCTTCAGTCACGCGCCTGCCTAGAAGCTGGAGGAGGAGCAGAAGGGTCTCCTTCTGTTCCTCCTCCAGCTTCGCAGCGAGGCGCCTGTCCTGCGAAGCCTGTCCTTCTCCAGCTTCGCTTGAACTGCGCAGCGACCCTTCAGCCACGCGCCTGCCCCGGCCTCTGCCTTAGCTGTGCGCAGCCTCTTCCGGGCAGGGGGAGCCTTCATCCCGCTGCCCTGAAGAGGCTTGGCGCGGTTATCCCAGAAGCCAGAACAGCCAGACGGTATCCCAGAAGTCCCATGGTATCTTGCTGTTATGGCTTCTGGGATTCAAAATATTTTTTTTCTTGTTCTCCTGTCCCCCAAACTGGGTGCGTCCTATCATCTGGTGCGTCCTATAGAGCGAGAAATATGGTATTTCCTGGGGGGTTTTTAAGCAGAGGTTGGGTGGCCATCAGTCATGAATGCTTCAGCTGAGATCCCTGCATTGCAGGGGCTGGACTAGATGACCGCTGGAGACCCCCTCCAACAATCCTATGACTCTTTGGCTCTATTGTTGAACCACCTGGAGCTCCGGCTTGTGCCGTAACACGGAGCATAAAAAGGACATTTATTTTATTTTGCCCGTTCATCCCTTCTCCTATCTAAGAGAAACCTCCTCCTCTCTGCCCTGCCCTTCCCTTTTTTTCCACAGCTCCGGCCAAACGTGGTACATATTTCATCCGTCCTGGCAGACACAGCAACTGGGTTTTGGGTTTCTGCTAATCCCCCGACGTTTTGAAACGTGGCTCAAACAGGAAATATAAAAATATTTGTCTGCAGATTTATGCGCCTTTCTGTGCCGCTGCCATTGAGTCAATTGTTTAAAGCGGAGAGGAAAACGGACTGAGGTGCCTTTTTTTCTGAGAGAGAGAGAGGGTGGGCGCCCACATTGAGTCACGGAGTCGAATCCTGCCAGGAGACTTAAAGCAGGGGCAATTTGCTAGGCACATAAAAGATCTGGGGCTGCAGCCTCGGGGCACAACTTTGCATGGAATTTGCATATGCTAATTCCCATGTACACAATGCAGATCCATAATTTGAATGCCACAGAAGACATGCCAACTGATATTTACATCCAGCCCTTTGCCAGATAGTCTCCTATTAATTGGGGCTCCACCCCAGATTACTTTAGGTCAGGTCCTTCCAATTAACTTCACCACAGATCCCGCTCCAAATAAACTCAGTTCCTTCAATTATCACCCCCTGAACACCCCCCCTCCGCAACTCTAGATAAAATCATCTTCAATTAGTTTATTTCCTCGTGTAAATATCCTACCCGGTTGCTCCCATTTGATCTCCCCAAAATTAATTACCTACTGAGAAACATCTGGGGCACTCAGGAAAAAAATGGTTTGGGGGTCTGGGCCCTGCTCTGAGAGACCTCTCCTGGACCCCCATCCACACAGAGCGGAGGGTTGGACTAGATGACCCCTTGAGGACCCTTCCAACTCTACAATTCTGCGATTCTGTGAAATGGGCCCTCAAACTCGGGATGGATCCAGAGATGATGGTGATAATGATAATGAAAATGATAATAATTTATTGGCGGAGGGGCTTTGGGACCACAACTCTGCATGAAGGCAGATGTAACCTAAACTAACCCGAAAACTTGAAATGTTTTCTGCAGAGAACTTTCAGTGAAAAATAAATAAATTGGGGGAGCGCCCCACACCATCCACTCTTCCTAACACACTGAAATAAAAAAATTAAGGTCACATATATATATATATATATATATATATATATATATATATAATGTACCAAGCAAACACGTACATAAATATATAAACCACATGTCTGAAGCCACACAGGAAAACAGCCCTGAAACCATTTTGACTCCCAAACTGACCAAATGTTTTCTCTGCAAGGCTGAAGGAAAATGGAAAAGCCTCCTCGTTGTCTTTTCCTTCACAAATCCTGTCTTAAGGGTATGTCTGTGTATGAATAGGGTGAGCCTGTGACCTGGCGCAGGAACTAAGTATTTGTCATTACAAAAGACTGGCCAGGCTCCCCAGGGTATCCAATCAAGTGACCATTAACATGTAACCTGCCAGACAGGAGATAAACAACGCACTCAGATTTCTGTTGTAGACCGCCCTTTCTGTGATGTAGGTATGATGTATCTGGGGGTGGTCTTGGACTCCAAGGCGGGCAATTTAAAATGTCCATATAAGGGCGAGCACACCTTTGTTCAGGGTCCTCCTCCTTCTGTGTGTGAAGGGGGCACCCTGTTGCAACAGATCAATAAAGACCAGACTTACTAGCTGCTTTGCTTCTCAATATTCTCTGGTTGGCCTCTGTTATTTTCTCCATTTAAACCTGTTTCATTGAATTCTTCATCAGCCAATTAGTTCAACACTTGTAAGTAGAGAGATATGCAATTTCTTCATTAACCAATCTTTTTTCGAATAGCTATAGACATCAGAATTGGACATTTGCTGATTATACAAAGCTTCACAGCTTGCTCTCCGCTGGGTAAAGTCTGTTATTTTCTCCTGCCAGGATTGAGGAGTCCTGGGTTCAAATCCTGTCTTGGCTTTGAAGTTCACCGAGCGACTTTGGGACAATCTCTCACAAGCCAACCTTCTGCGCATGATTTTTTGGGAGGCCAACTCATTGGGAAAACCTGAAATTCAGTTCAGCTTGTTCCGCTGCCCAGAATCTTTCCTTCCACATCACTCCTTTCGGGTGGTTCCTCTCCTCCGGCCTCCAGCCTAGGGACCACCCAACAAACGCCGTATAAAACTGGCAACCCCCCCAAACATAGCGCCTCCACTGCTGACAGGTTGTAAGCGATATCACTGGTCAAACATGACAAGGAACTGGGTGACCTGCTCTCTCGGTCCAGAAAGCATTTGTTACTCTGGAAGTATTTATTACCCCCTCCTTCTGAGTAGCTTTGAGTTTGGATTCTCACACTGTGAAATATACTCAGAGTCGAGAGTGGATTTCGTGCTCTTTATTCAGCTCATAGTGGTGAGGAGGAATGGAAGTTCCCCCAGAATGTCTGCTTTATATACATTATTTACACAATGGGCCCCACGTGATTGGCTAATTCCGGGATTCACCTGTAGGCCAATCAGGTTACAGATTCACTTCCACCTGGAGCTGGATTGGGTGGCTCCTGCCAACCAATCATACTGCTGCATTGTTCTAGGACCCATCAGACTGCTGCATTCTGAATCCTATTGTTCTAGGACCAATCAGACTGCTGCCTTTTGGATCCTATTGTTCTAGGACCAATCAGACTGCTGCCTTTTGGATCCTATTCAACTCAGTACATAATACGTTGCTTCAGCAAAATCCCAGAGAGACAAACTCTGGAGTCTCAAGCCTGAGAGAAGAGGAGGAGGAATCTTGGATGAAGCTCCCTCCATCAAAGTCAGAGCTTGACCTGATCTCTCTCTTTCTCTTTCTCTTTCTCTCTTTCTCTTTACGCTTAACAATAAATAACTCCTCCCAGGCATGAGATCATGACCACCAATTTGATGGAGGCAGCACGCCTCTGAGGTGGTGCATGCGCCACACATCCAAAGCACTTTTTGGAAGCATAAAAGAATCCCGGGAATTATAGTTTGTCGTGGGTGCTGGGAATCATAGCGCTTGCCTGGGAGCCGACGGCATTTGCCAGGATTCTTTGGTGTGAGCTTGAGACTGTTGTGCAATTAATTCTAATGTCATTCATTACTTTCCCTGTATTTTACTTTCCCCGTATGCAGCAGTCTGATCGGTCCTAGAACAGTGCAGTATTTATTTTTTTATTTGCATTTATGAAGGACAGATCGTGAAGCTGAGGCTCCAATACTCTGGCCACCTCATGAGAAGAGAAGACTCCCTGGAAAAGACCCTGATGCTGGGAAAGATGGAGTGCACAAGGAGAAGGGGACGACAGAGGACGAGATGGTGGGACAGTGTTCTCGAAGCTACCAGCATGAGTTTGACCAAACTGCGGGAGGCAGTGGAAGACAGGAGTGCCTGGCGTGCTCTGGTCCAGGGGGTCACGAAGAGGCGGACACGACTAAACCACTAAACAACAACAGTTTGTATTTACGGTGTGACAAACAGGTGTTTAACCCATTTGTGGGTGCGCAGCGTCACGCCGGGAGGGACGCACGAAAGTGAAAGTTTTTTCCCTCCCCCTTGCCGGGGAACCTCCAAGCTTTGGGGGTGGGAGGAGGCAGCAGAGCGAGGGACTGAGGGACGGCGGCAACTGAGGCGGCGGCTGTGGTGGTGGTGGCGGCGATAGCGGGCGGAGGAGGGGGCGCTCTATAGTACCTGTAGGATTTTCTTCTACATTTGCCATTTAAGGGAGTGGCTTATATTCGGGTATTGTCTTTTCCCCCCTTGAATTTTAAAGGTGCGACTTATATTTGGGCCAGATTCTAAGTAACTAAATCTTATTTTTAAACTTACTTCCCAGGTTATTGCCTGGTTTTCTATTAAAAGCAACACGATGGCCAGAAACAATAACAATGTGAACAACTTTATGGAATAATTCAAAACATCAAAACTAACAAACTGAAGTCTCTGAAAGTCCTTAAATGAATCACGGTGCCAGACTTTACCCAGCGGAGAGCAAGCTGTGAAGCTTTGTATAATCAGCAAATGTCCAATTCTGATGTCTATAGCTATTCAAAAAAAGATTGGTTAATGAAGAAATTGCATATCTCTCTACTTACAAGTGTTGAACTAATTGGCTGATGAAGAATTCAATGAAACAGGTTTAAATGGCACTGTGGGTTAAAGCCTCAGCGCCTAGGACTTGCCGATCGAAAGGTCAGCGGTTCGAATCCCCGCGGCGGGGTGCGCTCCCGCTGCTCGGTCCCAGCGCCTGCCAACCTAGCAGTTCGAAAGCACCCCCGGGTGCAAGTAGATAAATAGAGACCGCTTACTGGCGGGAAGGTAAACGGCGTTTCCGTGTGCTGCACTGGCTTGCCAGATGCAGCTTGTCACGCTGGCCACGTGACCCGGAAGTGTCTCCGGACAGCGCTGGCCCCCGGCTTCTTGAGTGAGATGGGCGCACAACCCTAGAGTCTGTCAAGACTGGTCCGTACGGGCAGGGGTACCTTTACCTTTACCTTTATTATTTAAAAAAGAAAAAATGCTTTGGTTGAAAGACTGTATAAGCCCTCAAAATAAATAGATGAAACTCATAATACTCACTAAAAGCAAGGCCAAAACCCAGCTGCACAAAAGCGAGAGCGCTGTAGGTTCGAAAGAGCTCCTCACCTTTCACGAGCTTCCAGATGTAGATCTCGACATCTTCCGAGGATTCCCGCTCGATCGCAATCTTCCTCAAGTTCTCTTTGGGGTTCTCCGAGGCGGAGGATGGAACAAACATGTAGACGGACACTTGGCATCTGGTGGTATCGACCCCGCTGTCCGTGGGCGCCTCTTTGTCCTCTAAAAGCACACATAAACAGGGACGTTTTTACCATTGGGTGTAGTGGCGCGGCAAGCCAGGGCGCCAAGCCGTGGAGGGCGCCAGGCGGAGAGTCCGGGGAGGGGAGAGCGGGGAGGTAAGCGAGGTGGAGCGGGGCCTTAGTGCCTGTGTGCCTTGAGAGCATAGCTGTCAATTGTCCCTTATTTGAAGGGACAGTCCCTTATCCCAGCGCCATGTCCCGCTGCTGCCCCTTATTGATGGATGTCCCTTAAATGTCCCTTAAATGATGTCCCTTAAATTTCAAAGGAAGCAGCTCCTCTCCCTCCCTCCCTTCCCGCCAGGGAGGAGGGAGGCTCCAACTGTGTTGCTTGGCTGTGTTGCTCACCCAATAAGAAGTCTAAGAACGACTGGGGGGTGGAGCTTGCATGCCTTGTGTGTGGCTAGTTAATGCAAGCTGAGGGGTTTTTTGAATGCTAGACGCCATTTTGTTGCACGTGCTGCTGCAAACTTTGCAGTGCAAAGCCAGGCCGGGGAGCCATCTTAAGTTGAGGTTGTATAGGCCTTGTGGTGCATGTGATTCAGATTCTATTCAGTTGAACCTCTGGTTACAAAGTTGGTTGGACAGTGTTCTCGAAGCCACCAGCATGACTTTGACCAGACTGCAGGAGGACAGGAAGACTGGAGTGCCTGGAACAGGTAAGGCTGCAGGTCCCTTATTTTGGCTGCCGGTCCCTTATTTTCAAGGCTGCTGGTCCCTTATTTTCAAATCTGTAAGTTGACAGCTATGCTTGAGCGCCCATCAGAGGCGGGAACGCTCCGAAAAAAATTTCCGCAGTCCAGAGCTCTCTCCGCCAGCTCCGCGACACACCACCTCCTCAGCTGCGTGGTGTGTGCTTGCATCCCAAGCTCTGCGCATAATAAACATGACTCTACCACCGCTCCCCCCATCCACTCTACCTCAAAAGACCCCCACGCTCGAGGCTACATGCTGCAACTGCTGCCCCCAGCGCCCCTCCCTCCTTCCCTTGCTTCTCCACTGCCTTGCACGGAGCCTGTTAGAATTCCTGCTCCATGACTGCAGTCATGGGATTGTTGTCTATCACATGACGGTATGCGTTTTGACTCTACAGAGTGGGAAGTGACGGAGACAGGATGTTTGTGTTACTGTGTTCCGTGAAGTGGGACTATTGTCCTTTGTCCTTTCTCTCTTTGCTGTCTAATGCTAGAGAGAGAGCCATGTTGCAGTGCTCCGTGCGTGTTTATATGTAAATAAAGGTAGATTAGCCAAAATGCTGAGTTGCTGAGGTCTGTCACGCAAGATGCGCAAACTCTGCACATCCCTAAGTGTGCCGGTTTCTGTTGGCATCGGTCATCGTGATGACTGAAGAAAGCTTATGAAGCTCCCAAATGACCAGCAGGGAAGGAACATGCCAGTCGGGTATGTGTCTCTGCCAGGGTCCTACTCGAGTGTAGGCTGAACTCCTGACAGAGCCTGGCTCATCCCGCTGCCCACACCGCCTCTGCACTCCTTCATTTTGTGATAGGAATTTTGAGGTCTTAGATATATGGTAATGTTCATAAGTGTACCAACCAAGCATGTACATAGATCAGCACAGGAAGACCGACCTGGAACCATTTTGCCTCCTAAACTGAGCAAATGTTTTCTCTGCAAGGTCAAAGTGGGAAACCTCCCCATTGTCTCTTTCCTCACAAATCCTGTCTTAAGGGCACATTTAAGATATGAATAGGGTGTGAGCCTGTGACCTGGCCCAGGAACTAAGTATTTATCATTACAAAAGACTGGCCAGGCTCCCCAGGCAATCCAATCAAGTAACCTGCCAGACAGGAGATAAACAATGACAGGAGAGAAACAACATTCAAATTTCTGTTTTAAGACCGCCTTTTCTGTGATGTAGGAATGATGTATCTGAGTGGTGGTCTTAGGTTACACCCCTTCTGTGATGTATGCATGATGTTTCTGGGGGTGTTCTTGATCTACAGGGTGGCAATTTCAAAAGTCTTTATAAGGCCTTGCGCACCATTTTTCTGGGTTCCTCCTCCTTTCCTGCGTGTGAGGGAGCACCCTGTTGCAACAGATCAATAAAGACCAGGCTTACTAGCTGCTTTGCTTCTCAATATTCTCTGGTTGGCCTCTGTTATTTTCTCCTACCAATAGGGAACCTATGTAAGGACTCTATACAGGCTCTTGGATACCCCATAAGGGAAAAAGGCAATTTTTGTTTACAACAACATGAACCACGTTTCCTTCCCCTGCCCTGTTTCCCCACATAGAGCGCATTGCAGTACAGTGGTGCCCCGCAAGACGAATGCCTCGCAAGACGGAAAACTCGCTAGACGAAAGAGTTTTCCGTTTTGGAGGTGCTTCGCAAAACGAATTTCCTATGGGCTTGCTTCGCAAGACGACAATGTCTTGCGAGTTCCTGCTGGTTTTTTTTCCTCCCCCCCTTTTTTTCTAAGCCGCTAAGCCGCTTATCAGCTGATCCGATCAGCAGATAAGCCGCTAAAAGCCGCTAAAAGCCGCTAATAGCGCTAATAGCGCTAATCCGCTAATCCTTCAATGGGCTTGCTTTGCAAGACGAAAAAACCGCTAGACGAAGAGAATCACAGAACGGATTCTTTTCATCTTGCGAGGCACCACTGTAGTCCAAGCAAGAGATAACTAGAGCATGCACCACTCTGGCGAGACAGTCCGCCAAAGGCTCAGGTCATGGCATGGCCCCAGTTCCAGGACCCAAATGAGTGACACCCCGCTGGCTCCTTCACACACCCACACCAAGGTGTCATTTACACTCTTCCCGGTTCCCCCTACATCATTCTTGTTTTCCAACCGCCTGCCATGTTTATCTTTGGCCTGCCAAGGGGCTAACGGAGACGTAGTCTGGCCCTCGGGGTGTTTCCTTCACCCGCCACTGGTAATGTTCTATTTTTGCTTGCGGAGTAATTAATAAATTAAGTTTGGGTTTATTGTGTCTAGTCAAGGTTCTTGATCACCCCAGCCGGCAGTGGCCACTTCCTTGAGATTTTCTTCCTGGGACAGAGCTATAAATAAGTGGTGTTTAATTCAGAGGTGGCAGCTCTGCATACAAGCAGCATGTCCCAAAGTTCATCCATCAGGGAACCTTGTGAAATTTTTCCTGGCAGAGATGCGGGAGCCACCTTTGCACCCAGTGATTTGTAGACTTCACACAACCCTGGCATACCCTTGTACTGGGATGGGCCAATCCATCCATTTTGCGAGCTCCCATATTCTCATTTTTCCCACTTTCCCACTCTCCACATTTCCATTTTTTTAAAAAATACTTTTTATTAGTTTTCAATTACAATAATAGCCTCATTATAAAAAGATAAAGGTAAAGGATCCCTGACAGTTAAGTCCAGTCACAAATGACTCTGGGGTTGCGGCACTCATCTCGCTTTACTGGCCAAGGGAGCTGACATTTGTCCGCAGACAGTTTTTCCAGGTCATGTGGCCAGCAAGACTAAGCCACTTCTGGCGAAACCAGAGCAGCGCACGGAAACAGCGTTTACCTTCCCGCCGGAGCGGTACCTATTTATCTACTTGCACTTTGACGTGCTTTTGAACTGCTAGGTGGGCAGGAGCTGGGACCAAGCAACGGGAGCTCACCCCGTCGCAGGGATTCGAACCACCGACCTTCTGATTGGCAAGTCCTAGGCTCTGTGGTTTAGACCACAGCGCCACCCGTGGCCCCAGCCTCATTATAACAATGCCAAATCACAATACAACTAATAATACCAATCACCAAGATGCCAAATTAAACAAGTTAGGTGGCCCCCTGTGAGCTAGAATTGATGGTTTGATGATTTACTTTATTTCTGCGTTCCAAGATCTTACAAATTCCAATTAGGCTCCAGTCGAAATAGCAATCCTTTACATCGCAGCTGCAGTTTTAACAACTTCCATTCGTATCGGCACATGAAATGATTTATACACCCACAGGTGAAGCATTCAAACTCTCTTCTGGTTCTTCCTGTGTGTGGCAATTATTCTGTCTGTAATGTTTCTTCCCGTCCTTGTAATATATGATGTCTATCCATTCTCCACAATTCCACACCGGTTTGCGATCTTAGTGCAAATTCCTCCTAACGTACACATTTTCGTATTCAGTGTTGCCTAAAATTCACAGTTTGGCATGCATCTTTCCCCATGTGTTTTGGGAATATATGCATTTCTGGGCACACCCCACCTTAGTATTCTTCCTAGTCCTAGAATCCTGGAACTGTAGACTTGGAAGGGACCCCTGAGGTTCATCTAGTCCACCTCCCCTGCAATGCATCTGCCCCCCCCCCCGTCCTATACAGCAAAGGGGTAATACACACAAGCATGAAATGCAGTCAGCGTGTCTGTTTATTACCTGGGCAGACTTTACAACATTTCCCTTCCACATTTTCGGGTTCCTCGCAGGGGTACTCCTTGGGGCATGTGATCTTCCGGCAATCCTGGCTCCCATCTTTGCACGTGCACAGGATGCAGGGCAGGAGCACAAAGTGGCGGATCGTGGGGTGCCACACTTCTCCGTGCGAGTAGGTCTTCCCGTTGTAGACACAAGCTGGAGAGAGAGAGAGAGAGAGAGAAGACCACGGGTGAAAATACAAAAAAATAAAGAGTGTCGTTCAAGTTCAAACCATTTGAGATGTGTGGGAAAGTTAAGGATAGTAGGAAGGTAAAAGGTAAAGGTGCTGGAGGAGACTCTTGAGAAGAAGATCAAACCGATCCATTCTGAAGGAAATCAGCCCTGAGTGCTCACTGGAAGGACAGATCCTGAAGCTGAGGCTCCAAGACTTTGGCCACCTCACGAGAAGAGAAGATGTGTGTATAAAATTATCAAAAAAAGCCGATAAAAATTATTTAAAAAAGGAAAGTTGAAAAATCTGACACACCCTAATCCTGCGCTGACCACAGCTTCAGGCGCAAGGGAAGAAGCCTCGCCTAGAGCACATCGCAGTGTTCACCTGAACTGACGTTACCTTTTTTGTTCTGCTCCTTCAGGATGATTCTGACCGTCGTTCCGCCGCTCCTCACTTTCTGCTTGATGCTCTTGGGGATCAGTTCCAGCGAGGCGCCCGTCGGGGGATCAACTGCTCCGGCAGATCCTCTGCTCCCGGCGCCCACTGCGCAGTGGTAACGGGGGTGCCTCTGCAGATCCAGACAACATGGAAAGATCCCCAGTCAATTCAGCAGGAGATCTCATTTGGATAGCTATTGTGATATATGGGCTGCCTATACTGATATATATTTTTAGATTGGGATTAATGGATCGTTGTGGATGTAGGCCAAAGTTCTTTCTTTCTTTGTCTTACGGTTTGCAATTAAAAATAAATAAATAAATGGGACGGTGCTGGAAATCAGTTGCATAAGAACCTAAGCAGAACCTCCTGGATCAGACCAATGGCCCATCTACTCCAGCATCCTTTTGAAAAATTTATTTATAAATTTTTATTGGAAATTTTATTTACAACCTAACATAAACCCCCACCCCCCCCAATACAGAAATCCACCCTCATTAAACATGAACATAACATACGTTAATCTAGCCAGTTCAATATACTCTAACAGTTTGCCTTGCCATTCCTTTTTTGTTGGCACAGTTTCTTTTTTCCAGTTTTTAGCAATTAGGATCCTTGCCTCTCCTGTGGCATAGAGGAATATTTTCTGATCTTCTCTTGCTATAGCTGTGTCCGTTATCCCTAGTAGAAAAGCTTCTGTATTTTTCATAAAGTTATACTTAAACATTTTTTTAAGCTCGTCATATACTATGTTCCAGAAGCTTTTGATTTTTTCCACAGGTCCACCAAACATGTACAAGTGTCCCCTCTGTTTTACCACACCTCCGGCACAGATTTGTTTTCGTCTTATAAACGTAAAGGGACCTCTGACCATTAGGTCCAGTCGTGGCCGACTCTGGAGTTGCGGCGCTCATCTTGCTTTACTGGCCGAGGGAGCTGGCGTACAGCTTCCGGGTCATGTGGCCAGCATGACTAAGCCGCTTCTGGTGAACCAGAGCAGCGCACGGAAACGTCGTTTACCTTCCCGCCGGAGCAGTACCTATTTATCTACTTGCACTTTGGCGTGCTTTCAAACTGCTAGGTTGGCAGGAGCAGGGACCGAGCAATGGGAGCTCACCCCATCACGGGGATTCGAACCGCCGACCTTCTGATCGGCAAGTCCTAGGCTCTGTGGTTTAACCTACAGCGCCACCCGCATCCCTTACATTTTAGCTATTTTGGTAGGTGTTCAGTACCATCTATAAAACATCTTGATTAGGTTTTCCCTCAATACTTCACAGGCTGTAAATTTCCAGTTCTTTCTCCATCCTCTTTTAAAGCCATCCAGATTGGTGGCCATTGCTGCCTCATGTGGCAAGGAGTTCCATAGTTCAACTGTGCACTGTGTGAAGAAGTCCTTTCTTTTATCTGCCCCGAATATCCCAACATGCAACTTCAATTCCGGTGTTATGAGAGGAATTCTTCAGCTGGGATTCCTGCATTAGGCACTAGATGGGTTCCTTCCAGCTCTATAATTCTATGAATCTATAAAAAAACTATAAATCTATTTTTTAAAAAAACCTCTATCCACTGTCTCTATGTCACCTTTTATTACGGCAAATTCTGAGAACCCGTAACGTTCATCGCACGTGAGACGACCTGCTAGTGAGCGATGTCGAAAGAACATGCCTCTTAATGAATTGTGTGCTTTAAAGAAATAAACGCTTTACTTACGACGCCTCTGTTTAATTGGGGCTCTTCTATCAACCTCTCAAAGGAATTATCTGCAGAGAGAGAGAAAAAAACCATAGATCTAGGTGGGAGCTTCACATAGTAAGCATACATCTTGGTCCATCAGTTTATTCATTCAGATTCCTAACCTGACCAGATTATTCATTCAGATTCCTAACCTGACCAAAGCATTATTTGAGTGGTGTAACATACACTATATTATATTTTTGTAACATTCACTATATTTTGTCCAGCTGAACCATTTCCTCTCCAGGATCAAGTAAAGTGAAAAACTGAAAAGCTTCTGGGAGATGATATATAATGAGATGAAAAAAATGTTGAAATATACATTTTAAAGAAACCAGAAGCATTTTTACTGGGCATTGTAGGAAGTGATATAAATAGAAAGGAATGTAAGTTGTTCTTCTACGCAACAACAGCAGCAAGAACATTATTGGCCCAAAAATGGAAGCAAGAAGAATTACCGACGAAAGAAGAATGGAGGATGAAATTAATGGACTATGCAGAACTGGATAAATTAACAGGAAGGATTCGAAACCGGCGGGACCAGAAATTCACTGAAGACTGGAGTAAATTTACAGACTATTTGAAAAGTATTTGTGATGAACAGACTACGTTTGTAGGTTTGCAAGAAGTTTTGTGAGGAGTATTGTTAGAATTATTGCAAAAAGGAAGGGGGGTTGGTTAGTGAAGACAATTAAAGGTAATATAATTTTAAGAATTGCATAAGAAGTGGTTAAAACGGTGGATCATCAGAGGAGCTGATGGAAGTCCAAAAAAGATTGTATAAGAGATGAAGTTTTGTGGTATGTACTATAATTTATATGTTAAAATTTAATAAAAATTATTATTAAAAGAAAGAAAGAAAAAATGGATCTGCAGCTTTAAGAAGATGGCCACTGAGCACAGCATAGACTGGCTGGTGCCTGTAACATCACGCACCCATTTTTCACTTATTGGCCCGAAAGCACTTTTGTGGCCCTTTTTAAATTGATCAAGTTTTCTTTCTTGTTTCTGTTTGAAAGATAACGAATGTTTCCGTCTGAAACGTTTTACGTGTAGTTCTTTAAGAAGCGATTGCTGCCTTTCAAATGTTAACGTTACGCGTGCATTGAGTTAACCCGGTTGAAAGTTAACTTTCAAATTGTGAGGGCAGCAAATATCTGGGATCCCTGGGCTTAACAGGAGCACCCCGAGGTGAAACACAGTCGACCACACACACCCCAACTCTGGGGCTGCCACCCTATTGCCCTTCACTCCCAAGGAAGTAACTATTCACTATATCAAACAGAGGGAGAGAGAAACTTCTTAAGGGAGAGAACTTGAAGAAACCACAGAACATGGCTGGCAAACTAAGGCCCGGGGGCTGGATCCGGCCCAATCGCCTTCTAAATCTGGCCTGCGGACGGTCCGGGAATCAACTCTGGCCCTCCAGATGTTTGGGACTACAATTCCCATCATCCCTGACCACTACTCCTGTTAGCTAGGGGTGATGGGAATTGTAGTCCCAAACATCTGGAGGGCTGGTGTTTGCCTATGTAGCCCTAACTAAGGCCCCGGGGGCCAGATCCGACCCAATCACCTCCTAAATCCGGCCCATGGATGATCCAGGAATCAGCGTGTTTCTACATGAATAGAATGTGTGCTTTTATTTAAAATGCATTTCTGGGTTATTTGTGGGGCATAGGAATTTGCTCATATTTTTTTCTTCAAAATATAATCTGGCCCCCCACAAGCTCTGAGGGACAGTGGACCGACCCCCTGCTGGAAAAGTTTGCTGTCCCCTGCCCATAGCTGTCAACTTTTCCCTTTTCTTGTGAGGAATCCTATTCAGAATAAGGGAATTTCCCTTGAAAAAGGGAAACGTTGACAGCTATGTCCCCGCCATAGAATCCCTACCTCCACCGCCCTATATAACCAAATGCAAGAAGTCCAGATGGGATGGGGAGAGGCAGGGCTGGTCCTTCCATGAGGCAGAGCGAGGCAGCTGCCTCAGGCGGTAAATTTGGGTGGTGTTGGAATGGAGCTAGGAATGGGGGCCACGTGGTCTGCCCTGCAGCCCCCAAACTAGCCTGCTGCCCTGAAGTTCTGCCTCAGGCAGCAAAACAGTTCCAGTTGATCCTGGGTAAAGGTAAAGGTAAAGGGACCCCTGACCATTAGGTCCAGTCGTGGCCGACTCTGGGGTTGTGGCGCTCATCTCGCTTTACTGGCCGAGGGAGCGGGCATACAGCTTCCGGGCCATGTGGCCAGCAGGACTAAGCCGCTTCTGGTGAACCAGAGCAGCGCACGGAAACGCCGTTTACCTTCCCGCCGGAGGGGTACCTATTTATCTACTTGCACTTTGACGTGCTTTCGAACTGCTAGGTTGGCAGAAGCTGGGATAGAGGAACGGGAGCTCACCCTGTCACGGGGATTCGAAACGCTGACCTTCTGATCGGCAAGTCCTCGGCTCAGTGGTTTAACCCACAGCGCCACCCGGAAAAATAATCTCCCTCTAGGAGAGAGAGCAAAGGAGCTTGAGATTGGCGCTAGAAAAACAACCAATTCCTACAAACGTTTTCAAATGTTTACAATTTTCTTTCATGTAAAATATAAATTTGCTCCAGTCCTTTTGAAACAGTCGTCTCGCCAGATCTTCCCTGACAGCTTTGCCAACTCTACGTATTCCACCATCTTTAACTGCCAACGTAGGAAGTTCCTGCTGATTCCATTTCAGGGCCAGAAGTATCTTTGCAGCCGTTGCGGCATACATAAACAAATTTACATCTTTTTTTTCTGAATTTCCTCTCCAATTGAACCTAACAAAAATGCCTCTGGTTTTTTTATTGAAATTATATTTAAAAACCTTCTTTAATTCATTACATATTATATCCCAGAAGGCTTTGACCTTAGTACAAACATTTGTAGGTTTGAGTTGAAATATTTTGTAATGTTAAAATAAGGAGCTAAAACAAAAAAAATTCCTTCCAGTAGCACCTGGAAGTAGCACCTAGGTGCTACTGGAAGGAATTTTTTTTTGTTTTGACTATGGCAGACCAACACGGCTACCTATCTGTAACTGAAAATAAGGAGCTGTTTTACATATAACGAGGTGAAATGTTAAAAGAAGATAGAAGGTAAAAAAATGAGGTGAAATGTTAAAAGAAGATAGAGGGTAAAAAAGTGGTTATAGAAATGCTAAGAATTTACTTTAATAATAATAATAATAATAATAATAATAATAATAATAATAATAATAAATTTTTTTATTTATATCCCGCCCTCCCCAGCCGAAGCTGGGCTCAGGGCGGCTAACAACAATCAAAATAATCCAACATTCTAAAAAACATTCATTATAAAATTAATTAAAATCAAATTAATGGCAACCATTAAGCAAATTAAAGATGTTTGGAAGTCAGAAAGAGGGAGGGAAGGAGGTCGATGCTCTGTTTGAGCAATGCTTAAGGTTACAGATTTATGTAATAAAATGTGACTAAATATGGAAAACTTAATAAAAATTATTATAAAAAAAGAAAAAGAAAGAAAAAGAAAAACAACCAATTCCTGCACAAGTCAGCCCAGGAAATGTTAACAAAGGGCAGTGTTTGGCAGCAGACAAGATCTCAGTGTAAATGGTGGAAGTCATTTTAAAACATTTTAATTAAGGTTGATATCTTGCAAGATGGAAATATATAGTAGTATGCAAGCATAGATCTGGAACTGTTGTTTAAAGCGAACACTTTTCTATTTTCTAAATTTCTATTTTAAATCCTTCTTTTTTCTTTTATTCCTTTTTTCTTTTTGTCTATTCTTTTTTCCGTCTCCCTCTTTCTTTCTGAATATTGCTTTATAGATGTATAAATAATCATGTTTATGTGTATATGTATGAAATTTGTTTTGTATTTCTTTTTTTTATTTGATATTCTTTTTTGTATTCAATAAAATTTAATAATAATAATAATAATAAAAGATCTCCGGCTGCGTTTCCCACCCCTCCAAAGGTCCATGGTGCAGGAGCGAGGCATGCGGCGAGGATCATGGTTCTTACATTACCTCTGCAGACTTGGCAGCAGGAGCCTGGTATGGTTTCGGGAGAGGCACACAGCACCTCTGGGCAGGTCACCAGGCCACAGTAAATGTGGCCTTCCTGAGAAAAAACACAAGAAATCCAGACACTTCGTCAGAAGCAGCACGTCCCCACCAGATGTGTTTTGAGCTAGCTAGCATTTCCAAACCGTCTTCAAGGGCAGGCCCAGCTACTTCACATTGCAGTAGTCTAACCGTCCGTTTCCCCAGAACTTGGGTGTCCAGCTTCCGACTGAAAAGGCTTCTGCCTGTACACTCCTGCCTTTCCAATAATAATCATATCATAATAATTTATTGTTTCTACCCCGCGCATCTAGCTTGGGTTTCCAAGTAAGGTGGATCAAATCTATGCTTCCGGGTGCCATAAGAAAGCTGCAGAGATAGCGCAGGATAGTGTGCACCCCAGAAATGATCCCTTTCAGCTTTTGCCTTCTGGAAGAAGGTACAGGGTTATTAAGACTAGGACTAGCCGCCTGAGAAACAGTTTCTAGCCAAATGCGATTTTGGTTTTAAACGCAGTGTAAGGTAGTCTCTGTGGGAGTATATTGTATTTAAAAATGGGGTATCAGAGTTTTTAGGGGGCTAACCAGGTTGGGATAGCTGGGATAGCTGGCTTGTTGGTTTTGAATGTCTTATGTAGATTTTTTCAATTTTGCTGTTCCGTACGGGACAATGACAATAAAGATTATCGTATCATATTGTATCGTATCCCCACCAGGCCCCTACCCTTATGCTAGTGTGTGCTAAGCAAATACCGTATTTTTCGCCCTATAGGACGCACTTTTCCCCCTCCAAAAATGAAGGGGAAATGTGTGTGCATCCTATGGAGCGAATGCAGGCTTTCGCTGAAGCCTGGAGAGCAAGGGGGGTCGGTGCACACTGACCCCTCTCACTCTCCAGGCTTCAGTAAGCTGTCCGCTAGCCGTGGGAGACGGCTTCGCACCGTCTCTGCTAGCTGCGAAGTCGCGCGGCTCTCCCACGGCTAGTGGAGAGCTTGCCAGCACCCAGAAGCTTGGGGCGCGCTGAGCTCAGCACGCCCCAAGCTTCGGGCTTCGCGCAGCGCTCCGCTAGCTGTGGGAGAGCCGCACGAAGTCGCGCAGCTCTCCCACGGCTTGCAGATAGCAGCCTGTTCTGGGGGCTGGGGATCGGGGGGAGCTTGGGCTTCCCCCGCCCCAGCCCCGCACCTGGGGGGGAAATAAACAAAATTTTCTTTATTTCCCCCCAAAAAAAACTAGGTGCGTCCTATGGGCTGGTGCGTCCTATGGGGCGAAAAATACGGTACTTTCTTTCGTTTTCCCCAGGCCTGTTGTCATATATTGCAGCTCCTCAATTTTGATACATGCTCGGGTTGCCCTGTTCCGTGAGATTTGATCATTTGGGTTTCCCTCTTCCGAACCTTTCCCAACTCCTCAATGTCCGTTTTGGGGAGAGGCGACCAGAACGGCACTCCGAAGAGACTTACCGAGCAACTGCACTGGGTGCACTGATTTGTCTGCCTGGAAGGGAAGAGCTCGTTGTGGGTGAAGATGTCGCCATGCCGGTAGGCTGTTCCGTTGTAGCGGCAGGAGGAATTGGCTGGCGTCTGGACCCCAGGCGGGGTGAGCAGCTCTGCAGAGGAAGAAGAAGACACAATCAAGAACATTTTCTCTCCCTACATCCACCTGCGACGATTTTTCCAGGAGTGGCCAGCCGTGGCAAACTACATGTAATGATCTCTGGCAGGCAAGCAAGCCCCAATAAGAAGTAATGACCCTCCGGCAATTTTATGTACAGTGGTACCTTGGTTCTCAAACTTAATCCGTTCCGGAATTCCGTTCCAAAACCAAAGCGTTCCAAAACCAAGGTGCACTTTCCCATAGAAAGTAATGCAAAATGGATTAATCCGTTCCAGACTTTTAAAGAGCACCTAAAGCAGCAATTTAACTTGCAGCAAGGTTGAGATGAGAGGGGAGTCTTGTCGTCTGGGCAGCCCAAGACCTCCAGGCTTTACACACCGAAATACAGGGGTACCTCGGGTTACATACATTTCAGGTTACAGACTCCGCTAACGCAGAAATAGTGCTTCAGGTTAAGAACTTTGCTTCAGGATGAGACCAGAAATTGTGCTCCGGCGTCGCGGCGGCAGTGGGAGGCCCCATTACCTAGAGTGGTACTCCAGGTTAAGAAGAGTTTCAGGTTAAGAACGGACCTCTGGAATGAATTAAGTACTTAACCCGAGGTACCACTGTATACTCGGAGTCGAGAGTGGATTTCATGCTCTTTATTCAGCTCATAGTGGTGAGGAGGAATGGAAGTTCCCCCAGAATGTCTGCCTTATATACATTATTTACACAATGGGCCCCACGTGATTGGCTAATTCCGGGATTCTCCTGTAGGCCAATCAGGTTGCAGATTCCCTTCTACCTGAAGCTGGATTGGGTGGCTCCTGTGGACCAATCAGACTGCTGCATTCTGGATCCTATTCTGGGACCAATCAGACTGCTGCATTCTGAATCCTATTCAACTCAGTACATCACACACACACACACACACACACACCTGCTCTCCCTTCTTAGAGTTCTTCAACTTTAAACTGGGCTTGGATCCCCAATAGATCTGTGGTTTCCACAGTGGGTGCTAAGAGCCAAGGGGAAAACAAGGGAGCGCTGGAGGTGTCAATGACTATTGGATTTCGAAAAGCTGGCATCGCTGAATCAAGTTCTTCCATCTCGTTGAGTTAATTAAACTAAATGGTTTTAATTGGATTTTGAGTAAGTGTGCAATCAATTGCCGCTGCTTTGGATTTTATTGGGTTGTTATCTCCCTTAGTGGGACATGCGAACCGTTGTTCCGAATATTGCTTTTTATAGGATGGGGGGCACTGCGGAGGCGTTTGTGGGACCAAGGGGGCAGCAGCCCGGAAAAGTTTGGGAGCCGCTGCAATAGAGGACTGTTCACTCTAAAGAAGGACACACAGCCACACTACCCACAACACAGAAAAGCCCCTGGGCTGGAAAGGGATTGTAGAAATGTTGGTATGATCAATAAATTTTGTAATGGGGATAAGAAACCTAGAATTAACAAAAAGAAGATGGTATAAACCCCAGAAAACAGAAGGACTGTGTCTCCCCAACATAAAGTTATATTATATAGCAAATCGGTTAAGATATATCATAGATGGGATAACAGAGCAAGGAGAACTAGAATGGTTAGAGAGTGGTAAAGTAGACCCTCTGGTTATGAATTTAATTCGTTTCTTTCTTTCTTTTTCTTTCTTTCTTTTAAAAACTTTATTCCAAAACCAGAAAAGAATTACAAACATCAGATTCAAAATCCATATGCGTTTTGTAACATAAGCCTTTACATATAGTAGTTGACTAGATTAAAAAATACCTAATTGCTATAGACTTCCCTTTGCTATATATAAATGCAACGCAATTAGAAATATTATATTAGAATTTTTTATAAATTCCCCTATACCCCCCACTCCCCTTCACCCATGTGTGATGTGATCTCAATATTTATTTTAACTTCTTGTTGTGTTGTCGTAGTTTAATAATCATTCAGTTGATTATTTTATTATTTCCTTGCTTACCCCTGCACATTTTACACATTATCTATTAATATTCCAGTTCCGGAACCATATTTTTTCATGTTTTCCTTCACTCCATCCCACTCCTAATTATTCTCTGATTTGAATGGCCTCTAATCATTGCGGTCAATTTTGCTATTTCCACAAACCCACATTTTTGGCTTTGCCATTCTAATAATGATGGTATTTTCTCCCCCTTCCAATTCTTTGTGATCAATATTCTGGCCGCTGAATTTAATTTGTTTTAGGGGTCCATGCACACCCAAAAAATCTGTAACCAGAGGTTACCACTTCTGCACATGCGCACGACAAGATACAGCACTTCTGCGCATGTGCGAGTGGCGAAACCCGGAAGAATACACTTCCAGGTTTGCCGCTTTTGCAACCCGAAGATTACGTATCCAGATCAGTACATAACCCGAGGGTCCACTGTACACAGAAAATGAGGGAGAAGTGAGCGAATATATTTTTATCAAGCCAAGCGGGCAATGGTGGCAGAATATTGAAAATCCCTGATTAAGAAATATCACTGAGATGTGGGTGAAATATAAAGGAAAACTGATATCGGCAAATTCCTCTCTAACCCAGGTGCTGATGATAGACGACTTCTCAGTAAATTTAAAAAAGGAAATTGAGAAAGAAATGTTGGTAGCAAAGCCTAGTGAGGTTGTGCCAGGGTGAAGCCTATAGTTTTGTGCCAGAATCCAGATGTAGTTTGGGAAGTTGTCCAGAAATCCACCCCAAAATTCAGAAGGCTGGGCTTCTTTCTCAGCTTTCACCAAATGCTACAATTACTGGGGACGCGGGTGGCGCTGTGGGTTAAACCACAGAGCCTAGGATTTGCCGATCAGAAGGTCAGCGGTTCAAATCCCTGTGACGGGGTGAGCTCACGTTGCTTAGTCCCTGCTCCTGCCAACCTAGCAGTTCAAAAGCACATCAAAGTGCAAGTAGATAAATAGGTACCGCTCCGGCGGGAAGGTAAACGGCGTTTCCGTGCGCTGCTCTGGTTCGCCAGAAGCGGCTTAGTCATGCTGGCCACACGACCCGGAAGCTGTACGCCGGCTCCCTCGGCCAGTAAAGCGAGATGAGCGCCGCAACCCCAGAGTTGGCCACGATTGGACCTAATGGTCAGGGGTCCCTTTACCTTTACTTTATCTGAAAAATAACATTGGCACAGCGCTCACAAGACACAGTTTTAATCCCATATCCCTATCTTTGAGCAGAAGAGATTGCAACTGAAGTCACATTATCTTGCTTGGTAAAAATGCCTGCTTTATTTCCTCACTTAAAAAAAAAATTAAGTTCACTTTCGGGGGCTGAACTTATTCCAACCCTACAATTTGATGATATCTACATTTCCGCATCAGTTTTCATTTTGAAAAGTCATGAAAAGTCACCAGCCTTTTACTGGAAATTTCTCCTACCAGAGACACTTCTTTTCCAGCAATTTTGCCTCCCCACCCCCACCCCCCATATGAGGATATTTCTCACCAGTGCATTCACACGTACATTTCTGGGGAAGGGGTGAACTGCTATAAATAGCAGGATATAGATATGTATAAACTGTTTGTGTGCTGTCAGGGAAGGGGCATTCAAATCCACTTACCTGGGCACTTGGGACAGCATTGGTGTGGGTCGCTGATGGGATTCGGACACTGAAGAGGCAGGCACTGGATTTGGGAGCAGCTGACATTGGTATCCTGCACGGAAAAGGGAATAATCAATGAGGTTGAATTATTGGCTCAATATCTATCATCAGAACAAATCCACACCAGTTCTGCTCTCTGACCTGGAAGCCTCAGCCTTTTTCAAGAAGACAATTCTTAGTGCAGCGAAAGTCTTTAAACAGCTCCATGCCTTTTCATTTCCTTTGTTTGACTGGTCAACGTTTATCCAGATAGATCAATCAATCAATCAATCAATCAATTGAATTGAATTTTATTATTTCGGTCACAGACCAGTTCCAGCCCACATACAATATCAAGGAAGTCAAAAAACACGATAGGGATATATTTGAATTTGCAATTAGGTATAACAGGGACAATACAGCTATGGCAACAGTTTAAAATATATAAATTAAAGCTTAGAATCAATTAATAGATCGATAGACAGCCTAACCTGTTCTGTATTCAGTGGTCTGAGTTTGCCTGAGCTTGAGTCTAGGCTGAGAATTCTGATGAGCTCCTGTGTTCTGATTTGATACATGATGTCCAATCAAAGAACATTACAAGATTTGGGCTTCTGCCATTGGCCCTCGAACTCTTGAGTCGTGATTCGCAGTTTAGAAGTTTAGACAGCCAATCACGTTGGGAGTGGGAGTGGCCCAGGCTTTCAGGAATGTATATAAGCAGTTGCTTCGCCCCCGTTTCCCAGTTATGTAGTTCAATGAAGGCTCTTGCTGTTCTCGCTGTGTCTTGCCTCGTGGGAACCCACCTATACTTCACTGGTGATGAGGATGGGATGCTAGGCTAGGTATGCAGACCTGGCTAGCTTCCACAAGCTGAAATCACTGCTGGGCAATGGTCACCTCAGCCGAGCTGAAATCACTGACTGCAGCCACAAGGCAGATCACACAGAGCAGACGCCTGCCAATCCTTACCCCATCATCTCACACAGTGCTGGATTTACGTATAAGCTTAACAAGCTATAGCTTAGGGCCCCACTCTCTTTGGGGCCCACAGAAAATATAAAGGGGAAAAAAACTGGATGTACATTTCCAAAATATAAGGTAAAGGGACCCCTGACTATTAGGTCCAGTCGTGCCCGACTCTGGGGTTACGGCACCCATCTCGCTTTATTGGTCGAGGGAGCTGGCGTACAGCTTCCAAGTCATGTGGCCAGCATGACTAAGTCGCTTCTGGCAAACCAGAGCAGCACACGGAAACGCCGTTTACCTTCCCGCCAGAGCGGTACCTATTTATCTACTTGCACTTTGACGTGCTTTCGAACTGCTAGGTTGACAGGAGCTGGGACAGAGCAACGGGAGCTCACCCCGTCGCGGGGATTCGAACCGCCAACCTTCTGATCAGCAAGTCCTAGGCTCTGTGGTTTAACCCACAGCGCCACCCGCGTCCCTAAAATATAAGATAAAAAACACATAAAATAAAACCTACATACAGCAACAGTGTTTTTTGTTGTGTAGGCTCCTATGATGTAAGTCAGGGGCCCCGCCTGCTAGCCTGCTCCCTCAAATATCACTGGTTTCAGTTCAACAATTACTTTGATAAAATGCATATTTTGTTATGTGCATGGACAGGTTGCATGGCAATATGTGGAAATGGCTTTAGATACCTATTAGGTCCATAAATTACCACATAGCATATATTCAACACAAAAAGCAGTGACAATTTGTGGTTGACAAAGGACAGCTGGACATGTAAAGGCCCCCATTACCTTCAGTAGCTTAGGGCCTCATCAAACCTAAATCCGGCCCTGGTCTCACATCAAACACGAAATATCCTCAAGCCTTCGCATCCCTCTGCATCCCTCCCTCCCTGTTTTCTTCAAACTTCTGCTGTTGCTTAAAACCACAGATACATTTATTTGTGGTTTTTTTTTGGTTTAAAATGTTGTATCACCTACACATTTTCATTTTAAAAAAATATATTACTGTGCTTTATGCAAACTGCTTAGGGATATTGCACATTAAGCAGCATATACGTATTATTGATGGCGATGGTCGCTCAGGTCATCGTCACTCAAAATATATCATCTGGAGATCCTGCTGCCAAGTCATTTAAGGATTTAGCAAGGTACCTCAGAGCAGGTGCACCTGATGCAGTACATCACTCCTTGCGGCTCCAGGTAAGGGTGCCAGCTCTCCCCTGCCTTGTACTTCTTGCTGTTAAATATGCAGGAGACATCCGGATCTGGAAATCAAAACATGAGGGTGTCATGTTCAAAGTGGGGAGGGGAAAAGCAACCTGGTAGGTTGGTAAAGGGTAAAGGGTTGGTAAAGGTAAAGGGTAAAGGGACCCCTGACCGTTAGAGTTTGGATTTGATATCCCGCTTTATCACTACCCGAAGGAGTCTCAAAGCAGCTAACATTCTCCTTTCCCTCCCTCCTCCACAACAAACACTCTGTGAGGTGAGTGGGGCTGAGAGACTTCAGAGAAGTGTGACTGGCCCAAGGTCACTCAGCAGCTGTATGTGGAGGAGCGGGGAGGCAAACCCGGTTCACCAGATTACGAGTCCACCACTCTTAACCACTACACCACACTGGCATCCCAGTTAGGTCCAGTCGTGACCGACTCTGGGGTTGCGGCACTCATCTCACTTTATTGCCCGATGGAGCCGGTGTACAACTTCCGGGTCATTTGGCCAGCATGACTAAGCCACTTCTGGCGAACCAGAGCAGCGCATGGAAACGCCATTTACCTTCCCGCTGGAGCGGTACCTATTTATCTACTTGCACTTTGACTTGCTTGCGAACTGCTAGGTAGGCAGGAGCAGGGACCGAGCAGCAGGAGCTCACCCCGTCGCGGGGATTTGAACCCCCAACTTTCTGATCGGCAAGTCCTAGGCTCTGTGGTTTAACCCACAGCGCCACCTGCGTCCCTAATCAGGAGGTAGAATGACCCTAAAACAGGGGTCAGCAACCTTTTTCAGCCGTGGGCCGGTCCACTGTCCCTCAGACCATGTGGGGGCGCAGGACTATATTTGGAAAAAAAATATGAACGAATTCCTATGCTCCACAAATAACCCAGAGATAAATTTTAAATAAAAGCACACATTCTACTCATGTTAAATAATAATAATAATAATAATAATAATAATAATAATAATAATAATAATTATTATTTTATTTATACCCCACCCTCCCCGGCCAAGACCGGGCTCAGGGCGGCTAACACCACATATAAAAACAATTGATTAAAATGCAACTTAAAAACAAGATTAAGTACAACATTAAAATGCAGCCTCATTTCAGTAGAAACTCAAATCAAAAACACCAGGCAGACCCCACAAATAACCCAGAGATGCATTTTAAATAAAAGGACACATTCTACTCATGGAAAAACACGCTGATTCCCAGACCGTCAACGGGCCGGATTGAGAAGGCGATTGGGCCGGATCTGGCCCCCAGGCCTTAGGTTGCCTATCCCTGCCCTAAAACAACATGTCCCTCACTGAGTATGGGGGAGCAAGGAACTCGTATTTCAGTGAGAGTCTTTATGACCCATGAGGTCTAGAAACTTGCTTTAAAGATGAAAACTGTTAAGTCGTGGGTTGACATAGCAGCCGGCACAGCGATTTCTTCAAGTAGCTCTTTATTATGGTAAGCTGGAATACAACTGACTGCGACAGCTCAGCCGGCCTGTATTTATAGGCAGCCGGCTGTCAACATTGTAACCACAACAGCCCAGAGTTCCCGCCTAAAATAACTGCCGCGGACCTGAGTGAAAACTATCTACAGACCTGAGTGAAAACTATATACAGTATCCCCCTGTTGGCCCAGGGTGAAACTACACTACATAACACCCCTCCCCACCGAGATAAGGCGTTAGTTACAATCGTAATGGTTTCCTTATATACAGCACTACGCGTAATGGTTCCATTAAGCACAAAAGCATATCGGTTACATTTCCCATACTTAGACCAACAGTGATACCTGTCCAACAACATAGTCCTTTAAATAAGTTGGGCGCTTGGAAACTCTGCCAGACCGCCGGGAACTGGTAGCCAAGTCCGGAGGGCCACACAGTTCTCGCTGAGGCTGTGGTGCGACCCTAGGTGGCGTTGGAACCAACTCCCCTGGATCCGCTGCTGTGGGTGGAGCCTCCGCAAGTGGAGTGGTCTGAGTCTGTTCTGAAACGGCTTGGTTCGGCTCCACGCTGGCAGTTTGCGAGGGAGGTGTAGGTGGGGCCTCGCCATCTGTACGTGTCTCTTCTGGAGCCGCAAGCGCAGTTGGGGGCACCTCGGTAGTGTCCAAGTTCCCCAACCCTGCGCCTAAGCTGGTCTATGTGCCGTCGCCACAAGCGTCCGTCTTCGAGTGCCACCTGGTACGAGCGAGGTCCAGTGACTCCCACTACTGTGGCTGGCACCCAAGGGATGTCCCCCACATAGTTCCGGGCAAAGACCTGGTTTCCTGGGACAAATGACCGTGGTGCGTTGGCACAGCCTGGGGGTTCAGCCACGGCAAAGTCTGGGTGTAGCCGGTCGAGCGGTGACCTGAGGCGGCGGCCCATAAGCAGTTCAGCAGGACTCCTCCCTGTGGCCGCATGAGGGGTGATGTGTTGCACGAACAAGTATTCGGCGACCCGCTCATGCCAGTCTCCCCGGTCCAGGCGCGCCAGTGCCTCTTTTGTCGAGCGCACCATTCTTTCCGCTTGCCCGTTGCTGGATGGATGAAAGGGTGCCGTTAGGGCATGGCGGATGCCCAGTCCCAAAAGATACCGCTCAAACGTGCCTGACGTGAACTGCGGTCCGTTGTCAGAGACAAGGACATCAGGACACCCATGCGTTGCAAACAGGCCTCGCAGCACCCGGATGACAGCTTCGGTAGTGGTGGAGGGCATCAGTGCGACCTCCAGCCATTTGGAATAGGCGTCCACCACTACCATAAAGGTCCGGCCGTGAAAGGGGCCAGCCAGATCGATGTGCACCCTCGACCAGGGTGTCTTTGGCGTCTCCCAGGTGTGTCCCTTAGCTGCCGGTGGTGCAGGCCTCGACTCCTGGCACGCTTGACAGGCGGACACCCAGGCAGTGATGGCATCGTCCATATTAGGCCACCAGACGTAACACCGAGCCAACGCCTTCATTTTGACAATTCCCGGGTGGCCAACGTGCAGAGCCTCCAGGACGCGCTGACGGAGTCCCTGGGGAATCACGACGCGGTCTCCCCACAGCAGGCAGCCACGATGAGCTGAGAGTTCATGTTGTCTGGTTGCGAAGGGCTGGAACTCCGATGCAAAAGGCCCTTGTGGCCACCCCCTCCACACCCAGTTGAGCACCCGGCTGATGGTGCGATCCTGGGCAGATGCGGAGGCCACAGTGGCAGCCGATACAGGCGCTGCCGGAAGATCCTCAATCAGAAGGAGCGATGAAGCTGGAGCCGGGTCTTCCACAAATGCTGGAAGAGGGCAACGGCTGAGGGCGTCGGCATGGCCCATCGATTTCCCCGGGCGATGGATGAGCCGGTAGTGGTAGGCAGCCAGGAAAACAGTCCATCGCAGCATGCGTGGTGAGAGGACCGGTGGAGTTGGACGATCACCGGCGAGGAGGCCCAGGAGTGGCTTGTGGTCAGTGATGAGGTCAAAAGTCCTGCCATAGAGGTATTCATGGAACCTCTTCACTCCAGCCACAAGTGCCAATGCCTCCTTGTCGAGCTGGCTGTAATTCCGTTCCGTCGGAGATAGTGTCCTGGAAAAGTAGGCGAGCGGTGCTTCTCTTCCATCTGGAAAACGGTGACTAAGGACAGCACCGATGCCAAAAGGTGAGGCGTCGCAGGCAAGGACCAGCGGCCTGGATTCACTGTACTGTACCAGCACACTGTCTGAAGAAAGGAGAGCCTTGACCGCGTTGAAGGCCGCCGTCTCCCGATGACCCCAGGCCCAAGGCGTCTTAGTGCTAAGGAGTCGGTGAAGAGGCTCAGCCACTGTGGCTTTGTGGGGCAGGAACATGTTATAAAAGTTCAGCAGCCCCAGGAATGCCTGCAACTCCGTTTTGTTCTTTGGGGTGGGGGCCTGCTGGATAGCGCGGATCTTGGATGTGGTTGGATGAAGACCGGAGGCATCGATAAGATAGCCCAGGAACTCTACCTGTGGAACGGCGATCTGGCACTTCTCCCTCTTTACCTTGAGCCCGGCCTCCTGGAACCTGGTCAGCACGGCACGGAGGCGCTCGAACAGCTGCTGGTGTGAGTCTGCAGACACCAAGACGTCATCAAAATATGGTACCACGCCCGGAAGCCCTTGCAGGAGACGCTCCATAAGGCTTTGGAAGATGCCAGGAGCCACACTCACCCCGAACTGCAACCGGCGGCAACGGAAAGCCCCCCGGTGGGTGACGATCGTCTGGGCTTCAGCAGTGGCATCATCGACTGGCAGTTGTTGATAGGCTTGGGCAAGGTCCAGCTTAGCGAAGACCTTACCCTCACCCAGGGAATGCAGCAGGTGTTGGACAACAGGAACCGGATAAGCGTGCTGCTGAAGTGCCTTGTTGATCGTGCACTTGTAGTCAGCGCAGATTCTCACCGACCCATCTGGCTTGACAGGCGTGACGATGGGGGTTTCCCACTTTGCGTGGTCAACCGGCTCCAAAACTCCTTGGGCGATCAGTTTGTCCAGTTGTTCGTCCACCTTAGCCTTGAGAGCAAAGGGAACCCGGCGTGGCTTTAGCTTGATGGGGGCGACTTGTGGATCAAGGCTAAAGGAGATGGGCGTACCTGTATATTGGCCCAAGGTGCCGTCAAAAACCTCGGCAAAGTCTTTGACCAGACCCTCAGTCTCTGCGTTAGAGATGCAGTTGATGCCGGTGACTTCCAGGCCGAGGGCATCAAACCAGTCTAGCCCTAGGAGGCTTGGCCGCTGACCTTCGACCACCACCAACCGGAGCAGGCCCGAAAAATCCTTGAAAGCGATCCGGAACCGGCCAACGCCTACCACGGGAATGTCGTTTCCCTGGTAGTCTCTCAGGTGTACACGGTGAGAGTCGAGTTGCCTTTTGGACACTCTGGGTACCAGTCTTTTGATGGTGCTCCATGACACGATGGACAGGGCAGACCCGGTGTCGATCTCCATGTCACATGGAGCTCCTTCAATGAGCACCGTGACGTTCAGCTTGCGTCGCGTAGGCGAGTCGGTTTGGCCAATCGTGGTTCCAGACGGGCAGCGGCAGTTGGTGAGAGCGAAACAACTTTCCTTGGCAG